GTAATTTCTAGAAATTTTAAGAAAAATAAAAATCTCAGATGTTCTAATTGTGGTAAACATGATTGTTTGAAAAGGAATTTTAGGTAAGACGTCCTTAGAAACAATGTTTTTTTTTTTTCCTAGAGATAATCCAAACAGAAGGCTCCAGCCTTACGGAATATGCAGAAGTTATGGCAAAGACCAGCACTGGACTAATGAATGCAGATAATCAGGGATAGGTAAGATAACCCTTTGCCATTGAGAAATGCCTTATGGGGACTCTGGCAGGCCCCAAAGTCAAATTTGGTTAAATCATTCCTCGCCAGCATTAGGGAAACTCCTCCACAGAGCAATTAAAAGACCTAATGCCTGTTGTTAAAAGCCATACTGCTCTGGATAATAGAAAAGCTTCAATAAACAAAACGAAATTTTTGAAAGAGACCATAAAACAAGTACTTTGGCAAACTTTTATAAATGATCAAAGACCAAAGCAAAAGAGGTGAATAAATGACATTCTAATTGAAGGTTTGCTAGAAACAGGTCCAGATGTAACAATAATTTCACTAAAATTTTGGCATCCAGATTGACCTCTTGGAAGCTCCAGCTTTTAGGGATTGGAACTTTATTTCATGTAAAACAAAGTGTAGGATGGGTCAAGTATATAGGGTCAGAGGACAGATAGGAAAATTAAAGACATATGTGGCTAACATAGCAATGAAATTATGGGGCATGATTTGTTGCAGAATTGAAAAACACAGATTAACATTCCCACAATCTCAGAAATAAATCAAAATATAAAGAATGCTTCTGAAAGAAATATTAAAGATAGTATCAAGAACAGTCAAAAGCCATTCAGGTTGTACATTAACTGGACACAACACCTTGTGATCTTTCAAGGGTACCAACAGCCCTACACTTAAAATAGCTAGCTGACAAACCTATGTGGATGGAACACTTGCCTTTGACATCAGAAGAATTACTAGAATAATTCTAGCTGTGTACTAGAACAGCTGGTACAGGAGCAGCTAAATGAGAGCTCCATGGAGTGACAGATAAATGATTGCCTGTTCTCTTCTCTACTTCCCCCACTAGGAAAAATAAACTGCATATCCTTAGACCTCTCCCTCCTCCTGCGGGTCCCTCTAGCTCTCCCTCAGTTGGCCATAAAACTCTATAATCCATTCTGGCCCATTTAGTGTGTACTCCACCCTATGAACCTAGATCTGACTCTACTGGTAGTATCAGAGCAGCAACACAAACAAATCTCTCAAAACAGTCTAGCTCAAGTTTTAAATTTCTATTCTAAACTGATACACTCAAAGCTGAATTTTGCACTACTGAGATTACAAATATCTTAAGGATATATGTAAAATAGCAACTCTGATCCTGGCCATGGCCTCCTACTACAAAACAATCTTCTGGAAAGACAGACTGGGAATCTGCATTTTTGTGTGCTCTATAAAGCATCTTAGCCATGCTGACATGTAATACTGAATCTTCAGAGGAATTCAGAGTGGTGAAATATGAAGAAGATCAAACAACATAATCTGAACAGCTGCTATCATGGGTCGACTTAGAGGGCGAAGTACTTGCCATGCATCACAATAACCAGAGTTCAACTGCTAGCACCCACGCACAAAACAAAAAGATGGGCACAGTAGTGTACACATGTAATCCCTAACACTCAGAAATCTAACTCTACTCAATATATAACTTGAATCCCTATAAAAGAGAAAAGCAGAGGCACCTGAAGGCACTTGGAGAAGATGAAAAAAATTACTGCTAAGCCAGAAATCTATAACACTTCAGGACTGTAGAGTTTTGATAAGAACTCCAATGCATTTAAAACACCTTTTCCCATTTGTTAAGAAAGTCTACTGATTTTAAGAATTTATGCTATGACTGTTTAGGAGTTTGAACCCATATTTCTTTGGTTTATTCTATTTGGAGTTTGCTCTGCATCTTGAGTATACAGGCTTATGTTTTCACTATGTAATTACAAAAGGAAATCCCCATTTATAAAACCAATGAAGAACACAAAGTACTTAGGAAGTAATGTAACAAGAAATACGCAAGCCAAAAGAAATTCCCTAAAAGGCATCAGCAATCTTTAACAACTATACAGACTCCTGGTTGTTACAAAGAAAAAGTCAATACTCTAACAATGCAATTCTATGTTATAAACTCATGTGATGTCAGTAAACATACTAATAAATTTTATATGTTAGACAAGATGGTATGAAGGCGTAAGTCACAAAACAATCCCACACCAGTTTGGAATTATGATTAATAAAAGGGTTATTTATTTAAAGGGAAAAACTTACAGATCACCATCCTAGACAACAGCCCTCTGCACAACCAGGAAAGGAGTCTAGTAGCCAGAAGTGGAGCAGGAAGCAAGAGAGCAAGTGCATGGCTACTGCTGCTTTTTAAAGCAAAAGAGACCACGCCCAAGTGGGCTGGTATCTTAAAGGTTATTGGCTGAAGGAGCGGAAGGAGCTCCTGCAACAATAGTAATAATGTTTACATTAAAAGTGAGTAAATAATTCCCTATCCTGTTGTATTAGGTTCCGTACAAATGCCTCAAAGAGATTTGTGAAACAGCAGAAAGTATAAACCCTATGTGTACTAAACTTTTTCTATGTAAACACATCTATAGTTCACTTTATAAATTAGGCATGGTAAGATTTCAACAACCAAAAATCAACTTTAAGAATATTAGATGGGGCTAGAAATATGGCTCAATATGCAGAGGATCCAAAGTCAGTTCCCAGCACCCATGTTAGGCAGCTCACAACCACTTGTAACTCCAGCTCCAAGTGACATAAAATCCTCATCTGGCCTCTAGGGCACCTCCAATAATGCAATCATGTGTACATAATACACACACACACACACACACACACACACACACACACACACACACACACTAAATCTTTAAAAAACAATGTACTACAGAAAAGCTATGTAAATGTAACATTTTTCTTCAAATAAATGACTTGTACAGCAGAAGCTAGGGAACAGCAATCAGTCTGGCAACTGTGGAAGCGGTAAGACAGGCGGGACATGTGACACAGATACTGGAACAAAGGGATTTACTTCCCAGATAAGATGACGTGTATTTTCAGCACAATGCTCACAATGGATTGTCATTAAAAACTTATTAATTGTTCACTTTTGGAATTTTCTATTTAATATTTTCAGGCTGTAATTAGCTACAAGTAACTGAAACCTTAGAAAGGGAAAACATAGGTAAAGGGTATGATGATACCAGACCAGCAAGATACATTAGAAAAATAGGAGGGGTTATGGTAATACAGCCCTAAGATATCTAGACCTATATAATAAAGCAAATGCCACCTGAGTACAAAGACAAACTAGTACAGAATACAAGAGCTATAACTCTTGCTACAGATAAACCTATATTGATAAAGAAGGTGGTTTAGATGACTGGGAAAAGGTAGGCTTTTAACAAATGTTTATAATAAAACTGGGAGACTATTCAACAAAAGACAAAATTGATTCCAATATCCAAAAAGAATTAAGAACTAAGGATATAAAGAAAACAATGAAATAATTTAAAAACTAGAAAGTGACGTAAATGAATTATTTGTCAAAGTTATTAAATAAAAAGAAATTATGATTCAAAATTCAACATCAATAAAGATTCATGCCCCTGAATAAAGTAAGGTTAAAATAATTATAAGTCAAACAAAATCTCTTAACAGCAAACTTTAAAAATTGATAAAATTAACATAATGGAAGAATATCTTTGTGCCATATGCCATTGAGCAGGTGCTGAGGTCACTAATGTATGTAGGATATGAGATAACTGATGTGCTCCCACTGGGTAGCCCTAAAATAGCCTGAATAATAAGAATAATAATGACACTGGATAATAACATCTAGAAAAGAATTTAAATATTAAATATCTTTTTGATAAACCCAAAAAGTAATAAAAATAATGGAAGAAAAGCTTTTCAATTAAGGAGAATACCAAGTAATAAATAGACAAGAAAAAAAAGAAAAATCACTCTTGTGCAAACACTATAGTAATAATTTTAAAAAATTCCTGATAAGTTATAATGCTAATAGGTTAAAAAATACTCAAAAAAGAAAATATTTACCTACTTATAAAATATATGTCCCAATGTATTTATAACCTAACTTGAATATTTAAAATAACAGTAACATGGGTTTAGAGTATATCTCAGTACTACTGCAGGCACTTAGCATGAACAAAACCCTGGGTTTGAACATTAATATGAACCAATCAAACAAGTACATCTATACAATAAAATAACTCAGCATTTCCACCTTCAATATGTGATCAAAGAAATGTCAAAATAAGACACATCAGTAAGACAGGACATCCTTGCTATGCTGCACTGAGTAGATCCCATCACTCCACGAAAAACCATGTTCAACATGTGTGATTGCATTCTAATTATAAGAGCAGTCCAAAGAACCAGAAAACATTCCACTTCTCAAAAGTGTTCAGGTTATGAAAGGATAGAAAATACTGCAGGCTTAGCAGAGACAGAAAGAGACAGCTCAGGTATAGCAACTAAATCTAACGGCCAGTGTGGTGTCCTTGATTGGGTCTCTGGTGGCAACGGGGATGGAATTTGAATGAGGCTGTAAAAATTATTGTGCCAGGATTATTCCAGGTTTCCATAACTGTTATGGTTATGTATAATAATGACATCAGAGGAAGATGAACAACAGTTGAGAATTCTTCATGCCATTTGTGCAAATATTCTTTATCCTAAAGTGAACAGGGTTTTAAAGAATTCTAACAAGCCTCTGGGGCACATCAGCGATGGCTGAACTTAGCTGTTGTTATGGCAACATCCCACTACTAAATGTATCAGATTATATACTTAAATAGGTATTATTATATCATATATCAATAAATTCAAAAATCTAGCTGTAAATAAATTTTTTTAATGTTTTGAGTTGGAAGTACAATAAAAACAGAATGAAAAGGACACAAAAAATGGGATTATATGTGATCTTACCAAGTTAACTAGCTGTGTGTGAACCACATCTTCTACTAAGACTGCTGTTTCATGGAGAGGCCTCCTAGCATCCCCTAAAGAAAACCTGCAGGAAAAATTAAGACATACCATTATTAATGCTGCAAACTAGGTAAACCAAACATATATGCTTCCTATTCATTGTAAGAATCAGCTGAATAAAAAGGTTATTGTTCTCTACAACAGTCCACTCTAACTTCTAGACTAAAGAAATGAATGTCTTCCTTATAAACTATATCTTCCAAAGAAAATATACTATTATCTGCATCCCTTCTTGGTTTACAAAGTATTTGTAAGGGGGAGTTGCTTTGTCAAAATGCAAAGTACAAGTGCAGTTCCCAATACCCACAGTAGGCAGCTCACAATCACTCCAGCTCCAGGAGATCCAACCTTCTAGCCTCTGACCATACCAGCATCATGGCTTGCTATCCACAAACAGCAAACATGCATATACTTAATTAAAAATAATTTAAAAATTTTTAATATGGAAAAATATCACCAACCATATTACAATATAAGCATCAAATCACCAGGTAACCAGTCTACACTGTCAATATAAGAGCAGAGCAATAGTCACAAAATATGATATAATAATACTGAAATTAGCTTTTGATTGCCACCTACATACAGCAGAATATAAAGAAATGATTTATGGTAAATTTTTGCCTTGGGGCAACATGCCCCACGGACAGAATGTGATTGGCTAAACTCCTTTATCAGTAAGCCACTGCACTCTTCAGGCCTCTCCGAGCCATCGGGAAAACATGAGGTACACATATACAGATGTAGGCAAACACCCATAAACATAAAATAAGTCTTTTCAAAATCAGTTGTGTTTCTATATACTAGAAATTAAAACTCTGAAGAAAAAATTACAAAATATGTTCACTGACAATAGAATCAGAAAGAATAAAATTCAAAGTAATACATTTAATAAAATAGGTAAAAGGCTTACCAGCTAGAAACTGTAAGACTGCTGAAGTTAATGAAAGACAAGGTACATAAAAAGTAAGTTCATGACGATGAAAGGAAGTCTTTATCCACACAGCAGAATACTGTTACTATAACAAAACTGGCATCCCATCCAAACCACAGTGATGTTTTGTGTGTATGTGTGTGTGGGTGAGTGTTTATGTGAGTGCATTTGTGTATATGTGTGAGCACATGTGTGTTTGCATGGGAGTATGTGTGTGTTCATGTATCTGTATGTATACATGTATTTGTGTGTGTGTGTGTGTGTGTGCGTGCGTGCGTGTGCATGTGTGTTAAACAGAAATACCTGACAGAAACAATGGAAACATTTTGACAGCTTTAGCATCCCTGCTCAGTGGGCCAGTGGAAGGCAGGGAGGAGCAGGGAAGGTATGATAGGGCTGAGTTGCTCATTTCAGGGCAGATATGAAACAGTGGGAGAGTAACAAGAGGATAGAGCACGATGCAGCCTTGAAAGACTCCTAATAACCACTTTCTCCAATTAGACATGTTCTAATCTCCCTTGGGGTGTGTGTGTGTGTGTGTGTGTGTGTGTGTGTGTATGGGGGGGTATCTTCTGGTAGGCTACTCACTTTCTGAATCCCTCAGTGAAACACCATGGACTTGATCAGACAGATCATATCGTACAGTCTTATGAAATGCCTTTTGCCACGCCAGAGGTGGATTCACTGACCCTAATGTGTCCCTCAAGTAATCAAGATTAAACTTCACAGCTATATTTGGGACCCAAGGATGGCATCATTGAAAGTCATCAGGTAAAAAGTAAAGATTCAGTTGGTGTCATGGCTCTAAGTCAGGGGAGGGGAAGCACCCAACAAATGCTGTGGTCACAAAACTCCTGAGCCTAGAAAATCTGTAGGTCACATAGCCCATTATACAACAGATGGGGGCTGTGGAACAGTGGGGTGCGGATTCACACATCTGGCTCCCCAGGGCATGACAGGCATTAGGGAGGCCAGCCATGGGAGAGGGGGCAAAGCATCCCTGCCTGATGAAAGAGAAACATTCTGGAAGTCAGGTAAGATGCTTTAGTCCCCAATCTGCTGCTCTGTGGTACTAAAACCAAAGTCACTTTAGGTCCGAGGTTCCTCAAACCCACGAGACTGAAATGCCTTTCCAGTTGCAGATTTTAGTTCATGAGAACAAACACCTGTAGGAGTGAGGCAAAACTACATGACAATGAAATCTTACATAACAAATCAAACAATAATCCTGAAATAAGAAAAAGACAGAAAATTAGAAAGTAGGTAACACAAACTGAAACCCATGAATGTAAACAATCTGAAGAGTGAGTAGATCTTTATTTCATTTCTGGTGTTAGACGTGGAAGTCATTTCCAAGAATCATCTCCTCACTTAAAATATTTACTCTTGAAGGCTGGACACACTGCTCTGCGGTTTTATGTTGTTCTGTTTAGTACATCTAGCAGGTCACTCATCTAGTTCAAATAATTGTTTCCACATTTTCACACTCTGATTACAGAAAGGAGAGCAGACCACCTTGAATGGAAAGCTCCTGAGAAAAGGCAGCAGAGGAGAAAAGTACAGTAATAATCTGTTGCAGACCACTAGGCCAGTGACCGAAGAACTCAAGGTATATGAGTATGCCTACTGATGTGCCAGGAACCTAGTCTACAAGACAAGAACCAGAAGCTTCATGTGTGTGTCTGCTTGGATGCAAGTTGCTTTCAATATTTACAATGGTTGCAGATGTTAATGTACACAATTTATTGTGTTATGCTGATGCTGTGGCTAACAAATTACTGTCATCTGGGGAGTCAAAAATTTTCCCCCTTAGCTCTGGTCTTTTGATTTCCCTACATCAGGTAACAGATTACTTTGTAATGGACACTGTGCAACAACTCCTTGGTGTAAAGAAGACTTTAGATGACTGACTGTTTCCCCAATCAAAGTTTCCTTTCTACCTTCTGGGCCCTTGACTATACTTCCCTAGGCTAGGCACCATTATAATCCCCAAGAATTGCTCTCAGGTGGAATGAGAGTGAATGAACAGCCTACAGCCCTAGCACACATCCCAGACCATGAATCTGGCACTGGACAAAACATGCAAAGCACAATCATCAGGCCATGTGATTCCCTCCACCATCTTCTGACAGATCTTGAGACTGAATGCTCACTGCCCAAGGGGCATAAGGACAGATTTGAGCATTGTTGAATGGAGAGAGGGCCTGCTTTTCATCCTGGCCGCTATGCTTACACCTGAAATAATCACACAGAAATTGTATTAATTAAATTACTGCCTGGTCCATTATTTCTAGCTTCTTATTGGCTAACTCTCATATCTTGATTAACCCATTTCTATTAAATCTGTGTATCACCATGTAATTGTAGCTTACTGGCAAGAGTCTAACCTATGTCCATCTCAGGCAGGAGATTCATGGCGTCTGCCAGTCAGCCCTTCTTCCCAGCATCCTTTTCGGTCCACTCCACCTATCTAAATTCTGCCCTATCAAAAGGCCAAGGCAGTCTCTTATTCAACCAATGAAAGCAACATATAAGTCAGAAGTACCTCTTACACCAGGGCATGGTCAGTTATTTAAGGCAATTAGAGTCACAGACATAGGCCAGTTACCTTACTCTTCAAGTTTGATGTTTCTGAGTTCCACATTTTTTTTATCTACTTCTCAGACACAAATTTGTTAAATAAAATGTTTGTGAAAGCCAAAGTGATGGTTAAGCCATCTATCAGACAAATCTGAGACAAAAGTTTTCCTTATAATAAATGTTTCTCCTGCTTGCTTAATGTCTTAAGATCCAACTCTCCTTGAAATGAACTTCTAACAAGTCATGGATCAAATGTTCTAATATCCTTTATAAGATACTTTATTGAGAAATAGAAAAGATGGTAAAGGCAAACGACAATGGCGGATGCTGATGTCAGCTCACACACACTGTTTTACAACCAGCTTAAGGGTCTGAACCCAGTTAAATGCAAAAGATGGAACTCGGTATGTGAAGTCTTTCTGCGTGGTGCAGTATTAAATGAGCAAAACTCTAAGACACTCAAGAACTTAACCACAAGTAATCATTTATCAGAAAAGAAGATTAACAAATTAACATAAGGATTCCTGGCTCAATTACTTTGTATAATTAAATCTTTTACAAGACTTTTGCAGAGAGAAGCAATCACTTCAAGAAAACCACTGTCTATTAGACCTCTTGCTTTTTCAAAAACTAATTCTCAATAAAATGAATTTGGAAATATCCTAATATTATTGTCTACAACTGAAACACACGTTACCCTATCACATGCTCTGAGACATTCTCCAAGGGGGGGGGGGAACGTGATCACCAATATACTCACCATGTACATGATTATCTTTCTAAGCTATGTTAATTATACAACACTGAGCATCAATTTAGGAACTCTGCCTGGAGGAAAAGACTCCAAATGACTTAAGGCCTTTGGCAAAAGGATTCCAAATGAGCTGCAGTCTAAGCTGCTAGAACTTTCAAGCCAAGTTCTCCAGTTTTAAACAATGAGATGATGATGGTAACAAGAGCAAACAATGGGCTTTTAAAGAATTCCACTGAGTATCCAACAAATATTTCTTGTGTATCTATATTGTGTCAGGCACTCATTTTCCTACATTAGCTGAGAATCCTACAAACCAGGAAGCAGACTCTTCTGCCTACTAAACAACTGATTTTTCAGTTGCCGTGGTATTAAGCAGTGACCACTCAAAAGTCAACCAGGAAGGGTGCCTTACAATAAACACATCTCTGAATAATGAATAGTGTGTCTTCTTATAGAGATTCTTCTATAGAGGACGTCAACCTCCAGAATGCCAATATAGGACTGCCACGCTTTCTCACAACAGGAGATTAAACATCTTCACCTCCAAGAAACTTCCTACAAGTATGTTCCTGGGAAGAAGCAATGGGCTTGATTTCCTGTCCTGGATGATCTCAATATTTCTGATACAGTGTTTGAGAATCCTGCTCTCATAAACCTAATCAGCCTTATCCCTCTCATTTCATTTTTATCCTGAGGTACTTTTAACCAAAAGATAAAATCAAAGACTTGTACAACAGTCACTTGCATATTATCTTAG